TTGCAGTAGGTCACTCTAGTCATACTGAGTTCTTCCTGACATGAAATTTTTTTTAAAGATGTAAATAAACTCATCATAGATACATGTGACAAAAGTTAAAGTCATGATAAAGTGTACAGACACTTAGACCACCATTCTTAATTTGGTAAAGTTAGAAGTAAATCACAGAGTGACAAAAGTATACTAGTCTGCAATGACAGGTGTATAAATCTCTAACTACTTTCTTCCAGAGGCAAATCAACTAACAACCTTGATATTGGTGTATTGCACATTTATTTATACTACAACAACAATAACAATCTACCATGCATAACAACAATATTATATACAACAACAATCATCAGATCTTATATTAACTGTCTGGAATTCATTTATAGTAATCAGATTAACGTTTTTGAGATTTTGGTATAATTTTGTTCCTAGAAAATGCATTGTTCAATAAAAATAAATAAATAACACAAGTTGTTCATCAAACTAATTTCATCTTTGTAGTCACTTCAAAAACAATGTCTGTATGGAAATTGGATACCAACTGTATTTCATAATTACAAAAACTTTTACAAATGTATAAGGTTACTTAGAAAGTTCTAAATACCCCATATGTACAAGAACATTATTAGTACCCCTTCACAAAAATGGTTCCCCTGTCTCATTTTTCTGCATTGAACCCATGAAATCTTTAACTTTCATAGGTTCCTAAAAATAAACCCGAATTCAAATTTGTAGCAGTTTCCACAGGAAATAGATGTACTATCAAGATGTCAACCTAATGTCAAAAACAATACATCATGCTGACTTAAGTTGTTTAAGCTTAATGGCATAAAAATTACATCTTATATATACTGGAACCTTAGCTATACACATGACACAAAACTTTCTTCAATTCAAAGTTTTTAATGTCTGACGACATATATCAATATCAATGAAATAAAAAGGTAACTGAAGACTGATATGCCTATTAAAAGAAATGTTTCAATTATGACCTTGATTTCAAACAAAATACTGAATACTAGACCAATATTTAAACTCTTTGTCCTTATCTTAAGCCTGGGCATATATAATCCTTCAATCATTGGCAAAATGTCAATTGATATTGTGACAAATGGAACACAATCCTTATATTTTTGGTATAAGCCTTTTTTGGGGGCTATAGTTGGAAGTTCTATTTCTTTCAGCTGACTGAAATAAAAGGAATTTTTATTAAGGACATTTCACATATTTCATTAGCCCATTTAAGTTTATTTCAAACAGATTTACTTTTACATTATATATAATGTAAGTAGTTACAGTCAAGGACAAATAAAAGAAACAGACTTTGCAGTTAACAACTATCAAACTGGTTTTTCTACTTAAAATTGTTTCATACACATATTTTGAGCTGTATTCTAATTTGAAAATAATTAGTTATTGTCATTTAAAGGTTGATTTCACTTGTTATGTCTTTAGATCCAAATATAAATAAAATGCTCCGCTGGGGCGCAGCTTGATACGACCGCAGAGGTCGAACCCTGAACAGTTGGGGCAAGTATGGACACAACATTCAAGCTTGATACAGCACTGAATTTGGATTGTAATTAAATATTTGACACAGCATAGGTTTCTCACACAGAATGAAAGTGGTCTAAGAACTTAAAAATTTTTAATTTACCTATTCAGACCATATCATTATTATTTGCTTTTATATATAAATCAGAAATAACCAATTTAAAATGGAAAATTTTAAAGAAAAAAAAATCCCCCCCAATTTTTTGAACCCCCTTATGATTCATCACCCCAAACTCAATCCCAGCTTTCCCTTTGTGGTATGGTACCTTGCAGTACAATTTCAGAGAGATCAATACACTTGAACACAAGTTATTGTCTGGAAACTAGAAAAATGCTTGTTTTTTGGCCCCTTTTTGGCCCCAAATTCCTAAACGTTTAGGGCAATGACCCCCAAACTCAAGCCCATCTTTCCCTTTGTGATATGGAACCTTGCAGTACAATTTCATAAAGATCCATACACTTACACACAAGTTTTTGTCCTGAAACTAGAAAAATGCCTGTTTTTTTTGCCCTTTTAAGGCCCCTAATTACTAAAATTTTTAGGGAATTACCCCCAAAATCAATCCCAGCCTTCTCTTTGTGGTATGGTACCTTGCAGTACAATTTCAGAGAGATCCATACATTTGAACACAAGTTATTGTCTGGAAACTAGAAAAATGCTTATTTTTGGCCCCTATTTGGCCCCTTATTCCTAAACTTTTTGGGCAATTACCCACAAACTCAATTCCAGCTTTCCCTTTGTGATATGGAACATTGTAGTACAATTTCATAAAGATCCATACACTTACACACAAGTTATTGTCATGAAACTAGAAAAATGCTTGTTTTTTGCCCCTTTTTGGCCCTTAATTCCTAAAATTTGGAGGCAATTACCCCCAAAATCAATCCCAGCATTCCCTTTGTGATATGGAACCTTGTGATACAATGTCAGAGAAATCCATACACTTACACATAAGTTATTGTCAAGAAACTAGAAAAATGCTTGTTTTTTGCCCCTTTTTGGCCCTAATTCCTAAAATTTGCAGGCAATTACCCCCAAAATCAATCCCAGCATTCCCTTTGTGATATGGAACCTTGTGATACAATGTCAGAGAGATCCATACACTTACTCACAAGTTATTGTCATGAAACTATAAAAATGCTTGTTTTTTGCCCCTTTTTGGCCCCTAATTCCTAAAATTTGAAGGCAATTATCCCCAAAATCAATCCCAGCATTCCCTTTGGGATATGGAACCTTGTGGTACAAATGTACAATGTCAGAGAGATCCATACACTTACACACAAGTTATGTCTGGAAGTTACAAAAATGCTTATTTTTGGCCCCTAATTCCTTAACTGTGGGTACCATAACCCCCAAAATCAATCCCCACCTTCCTATTGTGGTATTCAACCTTATGGTAAAATTTCATTGAGATCCATTCACTTAAACTAAAGTTAGATTGCGAAAACTAATGTGTCTTTAGATGACGACGACGACGCCAACGTCATACCAATATACGACCACAAAAGTTTTTTTGCAGTCGTATAAAAATAGTTTTGACCAAATAATGCTGCATGTATTGCTTGTGATCCAAGGTAACAACAGTTTCCCTGAACTATGAGAAGAAAGGCTGCTTAGTAAAATAAAGACATTTACCAAAATCATATATTAATTAAAAACCTGAATTGATAACCAAGTAAAAATGACACACTAATAACTCAATTATTAAATATTCCCTGGGGCTCAAAACAACATTAGCAAATTAGCAGACCAACATTTTGTAAACAGGACCATTTGATGTTCGTCCTTACAGGTTTTGAACAAAATTTGGGATTAATGTGTGTTATTTGAATTGAAATCTGGTTCAATAATGAGATATAAGGCTAGTAGATCTCATGTTCTACCTGGTAAAATGATACCTTCTTTTATGCCCTAGCTACTTTGGTTTAGAAGGAAATTTTAACCCCTAGTTCCATCTAAAAAATCATTTCTAGATGCCACTTCACTATTTCATACAGTTTCTTGCCCAGACAATGGAAGAGTGGGTGACTATGATGAGGTTTAGAGGTTTTATATGATACACATAAAACCAGATTATATCATGAATTGGAAAATAGGGTTTTCATTAAAATAATGTATATAAGTAATGTAAATATACCAAACTTTAAAGATGCCATCTTAGTAAGTTCTGTATGGTGTATGCTTAACCCAATGGGAACTGAATATGGAATATCACTTAAGTCTTAAAATGTATTTTTCTGATCTTAAAAGATATATGAACAAATACATGATAACTAACATGACAAAATAAGCCATATTTTAACCTTAGTACAATATAGACTAAATGAATTTACCTTTTTTTACAACTTTCTAAACTACCACTATTTAATACAGCAGTTCTCAAGATAAAAAAATCACTTTTTCATAAAAGTTATAACTACCTGTATTGCACATACATGACATAGTTTTTAAGTACCTGTTTGTTATAAAAATCAATACCTAGCAAAGTTGTGAATTAAAAAAATGTTGTAAATCAAACTGACTGCATTCTTAAGTATATTCTAAGTTATGACATTTTCTTAAATGCAAAATTTTAAATAATTAACAATATTAAAGCTAGCACCAGTAAAGACTTATTATAAGCTAAAATAAATCACAGTAAAACTACTAAAGTAAAGCACCAGTTTAACATAAATATCTTGCTGTAGTTAAATTATCTCCTTATAGCCAATATACTGGAAGATTTTCTTTCAAAACAAAAAGGTACAAAGTGCAAAGTTTAAAGTAGAGGGCCATAGAAGCTAAATTTTTTATAACAGTATAAGTTTAATATAATTTGGAAACATGACCACACCAGTTTTCTGAATGAGATATTTGCTCTTGTCAGTAAGCAACGTTTTTCAAACTAAAGATATCAGAAATCTACTACAAATGTTTTAGATGTGTCTAGTTGTTTATCAGTTCTGATGCCAGATTTGTTTTCTGCATAAAATGCAAAATGATATCTTTCCATTTGAATATACAATGTACAAAGACAAACATCTGGAGTGTAAAGGGCTCTATATGAAAAACAAAGACTCAAATGTCCTTCAGATTACAAATATTTGTTGTTTCCAGCACAACCTGTCTTTTTATTGCCTTAAAAAATTGTATTTAAGCAAAATACACATAAACAAAACATAATAAGATTAAAACAGAGTTGTCATGGAAACAACAATGACATCTGGCCTAGTAAGTAAGCACTAATGAAAAATAAAAAAGATCTAGGTAAAGCTTATATAATAAAATTAATTGACAATCCATATTATTTAACAAAAACAAATTTTCAAACATTATGTCAATGGACAAAGTACATGTATTTCAGATTTTTTGGCTCCTCAACATAAGTCATTAATAATAAAAAAAAAACTTCTTACAAATTTCTACGGTTTGAGCCATAACCCCCCAAAGCCAATCCTAACCATCCCTTTGTGGTATGGAAACTTGTGGTATAATTTCAGAAAGATCCATACACTGTTCCACAAGTGATTGTCTGGAAACTAGAAAAATGCTTTTTTGGGTCCCTTTTTGGCCCCTAATTCCTAAACTGTTGGGACCATAACCCCCAAAATCAATCGCAACCTTCCTTTTGTGGTTTCAAACCTTGTGTTTAATTTTCATAGATTTCTTTTTACTGATACTAAAGTTACTGTCAGGAAACCAAATGTCTTCGGACGACGCTGACGACCACGTGATACCGATATACGACCGCAAAATTTTTTGCGGTCGTATAAAAACAATAATCGTTATGACAGAAATCTTGCTTCCCTACTGTTCATAATAAAGTGATTATTTCAAACAGATGTGGCTTCAGGGATTAAGATGAACAATTATTTCTAAATGTGTTCAAAAGAACCTTTGTAAATGCTGCTATATGTATGCGATCCAAGTACAAAATGGTGAAGAGAGTTTCCAAATGTTCATACATATGTATATAAAAAAAAATTGACTTTTGTTGTAACAATAGAGAACAAATTTTAAAACTGACTGATCAGAGCAAAGATTGGGTACATGTAGCTTTATAGGATAAAACTTACTGATCAGAATAAAGAATGGGTACATGTAGCTTTATAGGATAATATTTCATGCAGCATATGGAAGAAAAAGAATATTTTTGACAAAACCTTCCTTCCATTATATCTGATATTCCACAAAATTTCAAAGAAAAAGATGAAAACTTGATTTCCAAAAGTGTGTTCAATCACGTCAATTTAAAATTTGTGGCATCTTTAAAGATTGCTGCCAACAAACACCATCCAATCAATACAAACTAGAGGCTCTAAAGAGCCTGTGTCGCTCGCCTTGGTCTATGTGCATATTCAACAAAGGACACTCTCCAACATTGTAGACGAGAATAGAATTCATGACAAAAATCTCTGTTTTGTTGATCTTGTATTGCTGATCATTTAGTCTGTTTAGCTTCTCTCTATCTTCTTTGGTTTTTGCTCCAAACAAAAAAGAGGGTCAAAAAATCTTTATTTAAGGGCAATCACTCCTATAAAGAGTGACAGTCTACTAACTATATCAGCAAAATTTGACTTGTTAGTAGATCTTGCCTTGCTGATCATTTTAGTGTTTGAAGTGTCTATTTATCTTTTATAATTTTTATCATATAAGATAAAACGCAAAAAAATGGTAAAAATCATCACCAAAGGGCAATAACTCTAATAAGGAGTCGACTGATGATTTCAACCATGTAGACTTATTTGTAGAATTTCTTGCTGATCAATTTTGCAAAAGTTTCTATCTATTATAGTTTTCAAGACAATAGGCAAATATGAAAAAAAATGGTAAAATTTGTCATTTAAGGGCAAAAACCCCTATAAGAAGTCGTCTGACAGTTTTGACATATATGGACATTAGGTAGAACTCAACATGCTGAACATTTTTTGCTCCTGTCTGATTTTCTCTATTTATAACGGTTTTCAAAATAATAGAAAAAACTTGCATTTTACCCCTATGTTCTATTTTTAGCCATGTCGGCCATCTTGGTTGGCAGGCGGGGTCATCAGACACATTTTTTAAACTAGATACCCTAATGATGATTGTGGCCAAGTTTGGTTAAATTTGGTCCAGTAGTTTCAGAGGAGAAGAATTTTGTAAAAGTTAACGGACGACAACAGACGACGGACACCAAGTGATTAGAAAAGCTCACTTGGCCCTTTGGGCCAGGTGAGCTAAAAAAATAAATCCCTGTAAGAATGGTAAAGGAACTCCAAATCCTTGCAAGAATGGTAAAAGGGACTCCAAATCATCCTATAGAATATAATAGAGAGACCTTGCAACGAATTTCAAAAGAGAAGTAAATTTGAAAACAGACTAATCAAAATAAAGGACTGTCTCAGGCCAATAAGTTTTTCCAACCAGAACAAAATGAAATATTCATTTGAATAACTTGATATTTCTTGTCATGTGTTTATGGAAAAATATGTAATAGTGTTCTGATGTTGAAAAATGTTTTCATGTCAGCATACCTACATGTACACATATTGACTTAGCTCTTTAAATTCAATGTCTTAAATTTTCAATTTAGCCATTAGGAAGACAACTCTGCTACAATTTTTTTTCATACTTCAGAATATATGTTCAATTTGTAAAATCAGATCTAGAAGTATAAAGAAGAAATGAATAAATAAGTTGTAAATTAACATCAAAATTTAACATTTACAATTCATAAAATTCTGACAAATATAAGAAACATATTCATGATAGTTGTTTAAAATAAGAAGGAAAAATATGTACAATTGTTTGATCGCATTACTCATGTTACTATCATAAAGAAAACAATCTTATACATGAAGATGTAAGTAAAATATTGATTTACACTTATCACATTTAACAAGAAGCTTAATCTCAGACCAATATATATTAAATGACTTTTTGGATATGTAATAAATACTATTGATTCTTCCACCCAAGTTTGCCTCAAATACAAATTTCAATGATGTCCTTATACTTTCTTAAAAACAAAATACATAACAAATAACACAATATTTATTTGGATCTGAGACAAAGATTCAGTTTGATAACAACAATGGAAACAATATATCTTCACAAAGAACTGTAAAAAAATCACATTACATACATGTGATGAATTGTATCATATCACGAACCTTATTCCAATCTCTATATAAAAGTACCTTAATCATATCACCAAGCTTCCTCTCAAACAGTACTTATCTTTTCGCCCCATAGAAAATTTTGGTGAAGGTAGACACTTGTTTTGTTACATTGAAATATATTAACTTCCAAAGAAATGACTAACATGTATCTTAACAGCACCACTGTAACATGGTAATATTAACCACCTTACAGCCATTCTTAGTGATATGATTATAACAGCATGCTGTCAATGAAACGACTGATCACCATTCCCAATTAGCTGACAGCACATCTTGTCTACAAGGGCCAAAGAGATTCTTTGCAGTAAAACATTTCTGACTACAATGTTACCACTTACCTTTGCAAACATTTTTGATTGGTGAATGTTTTTTAATGTATATTTAATCTTTGAAGTGAAGGCAACTAAAGGGCTACTGATGACATCAGTGTTAGATGTCAAGCTGTAAAAAACATTTAAGTCCAATATACAATGGACTAGCTTCACTACACTTTTAAACAGGTAGATAAAAGTCTCTTAATCAAATACACTAACTGAAATCAGAAAAATTTTACAGTTGAGATTACCAGGTTGGTCAAGCCGATACATGCACAGTTTCTACCAATGATTCTTTAATAATTTCACCAAAGTTCTGACCTACTTCTGAAGAATTTTTCCATGTCTGTGCTTCTGATTGCCCTTGTTGATTGGTAACACAATGGTTACCCGTTTCAGATTGGCTTGATGAGCTTTTGTCTAGGTCTATGTAAGTTTTAACATCACCACAATTGACAGAGAATGGATCTTCATATTTCTCCACCTTAATGCCATCAGTGTATCCATTATCTTGGTTATTTATGTGTGATAATATGGCGGGACAAGCTTCAGCAATTTTATCACTGGTAGTGTTTGTCATTGTTGTATAACATGTGGATACCACACGATTTTGTGGTCCTGAATATGACATCCAGTTGTTATGACCAACCCCTGTCATTTGGTCAACTTTGTAAAATTGATCTGCAGAATCTAATGATGTGTACTTTTTTTCAGGCTGTGAATTTGAAATGAATGAATTATGTTGTGAAATGTTGTTACTATGGCTACGAAAGTCTTGGTTTGTTTCTTCTGTTGTAAATGGTGTTAATGTTTGATATGATTTCTCTGGATAATCAACATTTTCATATGGTGGGCTATTCTCTGTAGAACTTGACTCTGAATATGAGCTTTCATCTTCTTTGTAATTATACAAAGAAGACATACTATCGGTGTTATAAAGTTCATCAGATTCATTATAGAGAAATACTCTTGGTAACAAGTTTGTCTGAGATTCACGATATTGTTGAGACTGATAGATCAGTGCCGTCCTTTGTTGCTGAGAAGCATATTGAACTTCCTGCATCATTACATTACAGACATCCGAATTCTGACAATCTCGACAACTCCCTAATTCGTTGCTGTTAAATTCAGACAAGTCAATCGTCTTTTGTTCATCGTCAGAACAATGTGCAGAGTCAACATCTGATTCAATTTTCTCTTGTTCTAATTCTTGACCTTTCTGTATTTTTGTAACAGGTGATGAATGATCCTCTTCTTTCTTATCTAACTGAAGCCTCATTAATGTATGAATAAAATGAGTTCTCACACGAATGGGATTGAATTCAATTCTACCTTGTAGATTACCACAGCCATCCTTACTACATCCACAAGGAAACGATAATCTATCTACCTGACACTGTATACCTTCCCGACTACATGCACAAGTCTCTGGATCACAGAATACCTGACAGTCACAGCCACATAGCTCACGTGAGTTACGTATATCTCTGCATACATCCTTCTCACCACTTTCAATTTTTTTAACCCCAGACTGTCTAAGTAGTATGCGTCTCTGTCTTGTTGTAATTGGTGTCAGTACATAATAATCATCATTTTCAAAATCAGAATCATCTTCCATGTCTTCCTCGTCATCATCTTCTTCGTCACTTCCAAGATATTTAGCACTTTTCTTTTCTTGCTTCTTCATTTCTTCAATCATCAAGGTATGTAGTCTCTTCTGTTCCTTGGCATGATCTGGTATACTAAAACTCTCTATATGACTATGCTTGTTTAACATGCCTGCAATAAATCACAATGATTAAAGTTCACTATTCAGTAATGCAAGTTTATTCATTATACAATGTATCACTGTATCAATTGACGTGTAATGAGTAGATTTGGCATTTAATATATATATATATATAAATACTCTAAATATCAGCACAACAATGTCAAATCTGCAAATTTGCAGAAACAAATTTGTGTTCTTCCCTCGCTGGGATTCGAACTCATGCTATTGGGATATTGAGTCAACACCGACTGCACTGTGTCCAGCGCTCTGGACCACTCTGCCACCTAGACTGAACTAAAAATTCAGCTTTCGGTGGCCTAGTGTTAGCTTTCCTCGTCAGTAGAATTTAGAGTTGTAACACAAATACATGATATATTAGGCATGAAGATGGAATTGATTGCAGATTAGCTAAATTATCTGTCGTAAAGGATCGTAAGATGCAGTCCCAGAAAATATATATACATGTATGACAAGACCTGTATGCTGTATCTTTCACCTGGTATCTATGCATTATATTGACTTATGTTCCAGTAAGAAGTTATAATGGGCACTGCTTTGGCAGCTGACAGGACTTTGAAAATGCAGAAAACTCCTTTTGAAACTTCATTCAGGTTTCCTTTAACCAGCATAACCAGGTTCCACTGAATGTATTCATACAATAAAACTATTGAAAACATTCATTTTGCAAGACATATGTAATTTACAACAATTCGATCCGTAAGAAACACGAATTACCAAAGGGAGCGGTGAGCACTCACAAACATGTCTTACCAAGCCTCATTCTTTATGTGCCTGTCCAAAGTCGGGAGCTTGAGTACAGTGGTTATGGTTGGTTCATGTCGGTCATATTTAATTTTTTTTCGTTAAATTCTCTAAATAAGTTTTCTCATTTGAATTGTTTCACATTTTTCATGTCAGGGCCTTTTATGGCTTACTATACGGTATGGGTTTTTCTCATTGTTGAAAGCTGTACGGTGGCATTATTTGTTTACTACCACTTCATTTTAATTCTGGTGGATAGTTGTCTGGTTGGCAATCATAGTAAATGCCTAGAATGCATGTAAAAAGCATGAAAATTGTGATCTCTTGAAAACCTGTCCTCAGAATTTGTTTTAATGTAATTTGATGTTGCTATGTACATTTCCGTTTAAAGGCATGGATAAATAATTTATACGGGGTAACCAGTTAAATTTTGTAGCAGAAAACAGTTAAGTCTCAAAATGAAAGAGTGAAATAAATGTGGATAGTGTCCACATGTGGACACAGATGATGCCCCCGCTTGCATATCATATAGTTATAAAGGGACATAACTGAAGAACAGTAAAAGTGACGCTACCCAAATTTGAACTTGATTTGAGTTTTGTGTGTAAGTCTCATAACATTTGGTTGAGGCTAACTTAAGTAGAGAACAGAAACTAAAAATTCAGCAATTTTTCTATTTATAAAGGGGCATAACTCAATAATGGTTTAAGTGACACTACCCAAATTCAACTTGATCTGTGTTTTATCAGTGGAAGTCAAAATTAAACATTCAATTGTATAAAGCATTGATTGTAGTTGATTCAACTATAATCATGGACAAAGGAAGATAACTCCAATTTTAAAAATAACTTGATATTTAGAAGAAAATAAAAATTTTGCAATTTTTTCCATTTATATAGGGGCATAACTCTAGAACGGTTAGAGTGACCCCACCAAGATTCAAATTTGATCTGTGTTTTGTGGTAATAAGCATTGTGTATAAGTTTCATAACATTTGGTTGAGGCAAACTTAAGTTAGAGAACAGAAACTAAAAATTTTGCAATTTTTCCATTTATAAAGGGGCATAACTCTAGAACGGTTAAAGTGACGCCACAAAAATTCAAACTTGATCTGTGTTTTGTGATAATAAGCATTGTATATAAGTTTCATAACATTTGGTTGAGGCAAACTTAAGTTAGAGGACGGAAACTAAAAATTTTGCAATTTTTCAATTTATAAAGGGGCATAACTCTAGAACGGTTAAAGTGACGCCACCAAAATTCAAACTTGATCTGTGTTTTGTGGTAATAAGCCTTGTGTATAAGTTTCATATCATTTGGTTGAGGCAAACTTAAGTTAGAGAACGGAAACTAAAAATTTTGCAATTTTTCCATTTATAAAGGGGCATAACTCTAGAACAGTTAAAGTGACGCCACCAAAATTCAAACTTGATCTGTGTTTTGTGGTAATAAGCATTGTGTATAAGTTTCATAACATTTGGTTTAGGCAAACTCAAGTTAGAGAACGGAAACCAATTTTGGGACGTACGGACGGACGTACGTACGTACGTACGGGCGGACAAGGGTAAAACTTAATGCCCCCACCGCTACGGCGGGGGCATAAAAATTGTCAAAAGGACAATCACACTCATGACACTTAGAAATTGTAATCTTAATAAAAGAACTGAGTTCCTATGTCATATGTCCCCCGCATTGCACATATTTTATCTATCCAAGGTACAGTCAACTGAGGTACAAGGGCAATAACTATCATTTTTTTTTTTGTTCTTTAAAACTTTTTATTAATATCTTAATTATAAGAGAAATGAAGGCTTCAGAGCAAGTGCAATGTGATTTCCATTATAATTAATATTTTCAAGGGGCATAACTCGTTACAAATATTTGATCAGCACTTATTTTAGAAATGGTAAAAAACATAACTGATATAAACCTACAATTTAAATTTCATAAAAATCTGGCAAGATTTGTACACTTTAGTTTAGAGAGCTGATAAGGCAATTTTCCATATAATTAATATTTCCAAGTGGCATAACTCTTTTAAAAAACATAGGTCGGCACTGATTTTCGAACTCCTCCAAGACATTGCTGATATAAACGCATGATTTAAGTTTGATAAATTTCTGGCAAAAATTGTTCACATGAGAGCGTTGACAATGCAATTTTCCATATAGTTAATGTTTCCATGGGGCATAACTCTTTTAAAAATAATAAATCGGCACTGATTTTCGAACTTGTCCAAGACATTGCTGATTGAACCTACAATAAGTTTCATAAAAATCTGGCAAGAATTGAACACATGAGAGTGCTAACGATGCAATTTTCCATATAATTAATGTTTCCAAGGGGCATAACTTTTTTAATAAACAGCTGCGTCATGAGCGCATGATACATCTGTCGCATTTTTTACAAATAAAGTTCAATAACTTCTCAATGTCATATCAGAAATTTGTGAAAAACTAAAAGGGAGGTTATCTTAGTTGATATAAACCAGTCACCAAAGTTTAATGAAAATTGCTCAAAGCACTTTAAAGGTATATATATTGTACGAAAACTAGAAAATCACCCCTTTTTATGAATAAAATCCCATAACTCAGAAGTGTAAAATCTTAAATTTATAAAAATTGATAGGGAGTTTACATCAATAGATATAAACAATTCTCCAAAGTTTCATAAGAACTGCTGAAAGCATTTTTGAGTTATTGTCCGAAAACTGGAAAATCATCCTTTTTTTTAATGAATAAAACTCCACAACTCGGAAACATAAAATCTAAAATTTATAAAAATCAAAAGGGAGCTCATGTCAATAGATATAAACAATTGACCAAAGTTTCTTGCAAATTGGTGAAAGCATTTTTGAGTTATTGTCTGAAAACTGGAAAATTCCCCCATTTTTTAATGAATAAAACCCCATAACTCAGAAGCGTAAAATCTAAATTTTATAAAAAACGAAACGGAGCTCACATCAATAGATATGAACAATTCACCAAAGTTTGATGCAAATTGGTTGAAGAGTTTTTGAGTTAATGTCCGACATGTTGAGGATGGACGGACAGACAGAGGTATACCATAATACGTCCCGTAAATGGACGTATAAAAATAATTGATCGGCACTGATTTTCAAACTCGTTCAAGACACTGCTAATATAAACCTATGATATAAGTTTCATAAAAATCTGACAACAATTGTACACGTGAGAGCGCCAACAAGACGCCTGGTATTTCTATGTCCCCTGCAACATGTTGCGCGAAGGACAATTAACTATGATTGTTATTCTTCCTACCGAAGGTCAGTGTTTCTCTCTGGTCACTACCGTTTCCTCTACCAACAACAACAGACCACCACGAAATAGACAATTGTGCTGAAAGTGGCATTGAACACCAATCAATCATTATGTGTAACCACATATCAGTGTTTAGTTTCAAATCCATGCAAGGTTTTCAAGTTATCATGCAGATACGAAAAACTGGCCGACTGACAAGTCAAAAACTATATTTACCACTTAGAGGCCTTGGTTTAAATTAGAATGGTTAATCTAAAGTACACTTCTGACAACATCATGTTGCAACTTCAGTGTTCTGCCAAGGCCACAGTATTCATCCCTCACATTTTAATGCTGATCTAGTGGATGAATCTCCGAGCTAACTTAGATAATGGGGTGCTAAGATCTTGTCAAATTTTTAAATTAAAATTTAAATGTGCTTACCTGTACAATTTGGACCATTTGATCACCTAGTTCTACTTGTCCATAATTGATAATATTACCTTACATGTATTATGTCAAATATTGGTGACCAGTTCAATGAAAAAAAAAACACTATTATTGTAAAAAAGACTTTCATTTCTTTTGTATTTTTGACTCCAGAAATTACTCAGAAATCATTCCAAAGCTTTTCAACTAAATTTTACCATTCTATCACTACAAGCTTTGAGGTTTGCATTTTGTATCACTTTTGAACTGAATTGAAAACTGTACATGTGATGATTAATTCATTATTGTTTATTTTGTGTATAGTATTTTTAACCAAACTGTTTAATCTGCTTCAGAGAAGAATTTGAGGGTCATTACAAGCCTGTAATTGACGATGGTAATTTGTCCTTGCATCATGGTTTACAAAATGTAATAAAGGAAATATATACCTAACGTAAAATGATGTAAAACCTCAAAAGAAAGAAATAACAGATTAATTAATATATTAAAGTCCATATAATAATAAAAATAATAATAATAATAATAATAATAATAATAAATTCTTTATTTAAAGAGGGTAAACTCAGTTAGTTACAATAAACTAATCTTCCCTGAGGCTCTCACATACAAATTCAAATACAATCAAAAACAGATATTTACACATAGTTAATTTACAGTCAAGTAGTTCAATGTAATATTGTTAACATGATAAGATATAAAGCTGTTCAAGATGTACATGTAGTCAAAAAATCAAATAACAATAAAAATATACACAAGGGCCTTTTATAGCTGACTGTATGGTATGGCTTTTGCTTATTGTTGAAGACTATAAGCTTAAGGTAACCTATAGTTGCTTACATGCAAGTCACTTGTTTAATTAGTCTCATTGGCAATCATACCACACATGTAACATCTCCTTATTTTATAGTGAAAGCAATTTTCATTTTCTATCTGAAATAAGAATTGTACAAATTTAATCATTATTTTATAATTTAGACATGTTGACATTTAATTTAGAAGTGAACCTCATCAGTCATTGAAAAGACCTGTAAAATATAGTACTTACCAAGTGTGGAACCACCTTCACTTGGAACACATGTAAACCCTTGCATTCTTGGAAAATAGTATACAGTCACACCTTTAAACTTCACTGACTTCTTTTGACGTTTCTTTTTTGACATGACTAAAAAGATAGTTATGTACGGTAAATGAAATCATATAACTTGGGCATGTTATCTGACAGATAAAAAATACACATATGAAAGTTCATTTAAACAAATTGAATACATCAATTTTATAATACAGAAGAAAGAAATCAAATCAACACTGAGCATGGCTCACACTATCAGGTGACTGGGGTGAAGAAATCGCCTTCCGGTCTGTCATTTCGATTTGCCCGACTGTCAAAAGCGATGTCTAGTTGCCCAGGTATTTTCTTTCATTTCCAGTACTTGTTAATCGAGGGTATATCCAAAGTTCTGATTTTCAGCAAAATAAGTTTGTTATTTCATTAGAACATGAAAACTGTCTTTAGTTAATGTTACAACAACCAAAAAATTCCTAATATATGATCATGCAATTCTGCAGAAAGCACAATTGATAACTACTATAACCTATACTCAGAACTAACCTATAGATGTTGGAACATCAGAACTGCTGTTAGTTATAACAGAACTACTACTGTTTTCATCAATGTCAGATGATATGGGGGAATCACCAACCTCTTCTATCTTCCTCTTCAACATTTTGACCTACATTCTACAAAAGGAAAGTATAACATTGTCTTTACTCCTCATATTTGTATACTGTGGATTTATTTATGTTTGTGGATATTTGATTTGGTGCATACCATGCATACTTTATAATATTTGTACTTTGTTGAACATCTAAATTCATGGTTTACCTAGGCCACCCATAACAAATTTCTTGTTTGATGTTGCCTACCCATGCCTTGTAAGGTTGGGTAGGTAGGTAGGAATTTTATTTTTTTTTAGCCAACAACATAAGTTACATGTTTTAGACAAGAAAACGATATAAGATCAGGAAAAAATCTTTGAAAAAAAAAATTTTTTTGGGGTACCGTCATGACCGTAGGCTGCTTTTTCAAATTTTTAGGTGGGTAGGTAGGCAACATCAAACAATTTAAATTTTATATCTTTGGCCCTACATATATCCATGAAATTTGGCATCCCTATAACAATTATGAATCCAGTCATGGACCAACACCCAATCAGAGTGACAGTGTGAAATACTACACTGTGTTTACAAGATTGATGGAAAACAGTTTACCATTGAAATTTTGAGTGTAAAAAAGAATAAAATTACAGGAAACTTTTCTGAAATATTATGGTGGCAATAATTTATTATAATGTAAGCCAGTGAAGACTGCTGGTTTAATAATTGTTGATTTGTATAATGTTACTTTTTTTTTAATTAAAACTGTTGTTTGGTCTTTGATATATAATTAATAATTTTCCCTATACATGTACTTTCTACCAAACACATTTTTCAGAGAGAGGTTTATATATCTAGTAGATATACGTTTTGAACTTAAAAAAAGACCATTATATTCTATATTCAATATATAGGGTTTTCTAATCCTGGCTATTCTATTAGTCCCGAGTCACACATACCAAAAAAATTATCACTGAAAATCCTTATTATCTAGAAACCAAATGTATTGAAGAATTTCATACTATGTATAGCTACATTTGTATTCTTAGCAACTGCTTATGACAATCAGACTTAAAAAAATAGGTTTCCTCAATTTTTTCTACTTTCAATCACTTCTATAAGTTTTATTAAAATTGAACAATTCTTCCTCAAATTATCACTCAGAAACAACAAATTTCAACTATTTTTTCAAGTCAATTTTACTAAGGAGGTTATATGAGAAGGAGAGCGAACACTCTGCTTGAAATAAAATTAGCATCCCCAGGATAGCAATTCGATCAGAGGAAAATGATTAAAATATAAAGAAACCAACATGTTTATCACCCACTTGATAGTGCCCTGAGATGTACCAGACTGTTACCGTGAACAGTCAATGTGATTGGGGGAATCGTGAATGTCACGTGATTCTTATCAGTGACTGTGTCATTAAAATACAGGTGTAATTATAGTAATAAATCAGTTCAAATGTGTTTTTAATGTGCAATAACATTTGACGTGAAATTCAATAGTATATTGTCTAACTACGACGAAAAACGACTAAGAAATGAAAAAGTTTTGAGGATATAATGAAATTTAATAATGCAATTTCTATTCAACCCCACCTTGCTTTAAACAAAGATTTTCGCTTCTCCTCTCTGGCCCCGTCTATGTTAACTGGTAGGTTATATCATAGTAAATAGAGGAATATGCGCGATACCTTTGTTACTGTGACCTGTAGCGACCGGAGCGAATATTTGTAATTAAAACGAAGAAAAGTTTGTTTTTCATGGCGTTAGGCTGTAGATATGAGCTAAGCCGCTGAGATTTTCACTTAACAAGTTGGCTCATAGAAATGAAAAATAGCATGTTATATCCTCGAAAGTAGAGGAATATGTGAGGTATCTTTGTTACGGTGACTTGTTGCGACTGGCACATTATTTTATTTCTTTTTCTAAACAGAGAAGAAATTATCAGAGAAAAGTTTCAGTCTTTCTCAGGGTGGAATATATTATGCTTTAAAGATCAGGAAACATGAAAAATTGTTTTATGTGGTAAATTTTACTTCAATATGTATTCATCAGTTATGAAGCAAATCAGGTCTGTCAAGTATTGTCTTGCAGATGCAGAATATTTCTAGATCAAATTCTTTTTAGAGCTCCAACGCTTCGGCATCGTTAATAAATAAATCATCGATGGCTGAAATACATCAACAGTAAACATTCGGTGTGTATGTTTTAGTAGCCTGGATTCCTGGCCAAACCTCCACTTTGCATAAGTAAGTCTATATATATATATTATTGTCGAGAATTGAACCAGGTTCCCATGCTTATTTTGTAAAACCTTGGATCCCGGTCCGTTTATAAAACTTCGGGTGTTTTCATTCTTACTCGGATGTGTAATTAGGACAAAGTCTCCCTCTGCGACCGTATCAATTTCAACTAATTAACACCCACTTACAGAAAAGGCGGTAACATTTTAAGTGTAATTATCGTCTTTCATGCTCTCTCCTTCCCATGAAACCTCTGATTTTACAAAGCTGTAGCCGAGACATTTAAACTTTTGACATGAAAATCAACTCTCTATATTTTCCATTTTTAACAAACAACTTAAGCAATGTTAAGTCACCATCCAGAATCCTAAAACCAATTTTTTTCCAAATATTTCTTAAATTTGAATATTTTAGCAAGTGACCTTGATCTTTGACATATTGACCTTAAAATCGCCCTCACTTTTAATATCTTCCATCTGTACAGGTTACAATCTCATCAAGTAAGGGAAGTGTTTAATGGTTGCAATCAATTGACATTTTTAACATCTTACAATGCTAATAATTGCTGAGTATATCGATATATAGCTATATAGTCAACTCGACATTTTTGTTGATTTTTTTATAGACAATTCACTATTTCAGTAATTTTCTGGACTGTAAAAATTCATTGCATCTAGATTCTGATCAATAAACATATACAATCTTTATATATAAATGTTAGAACACTTGTAAACTTACTTAATCATTTGTAAAATATAATAACAATTAAAGAAATGTCTAAACATACATTGTACATGTATCAATTCTTCACAACATGCACAATGGGACATAATCTTCAAATCTTTCAAGACAAAACCCATGTTTGATTGCATAATTTCAATAATTCACAATTTTCCTAATTTATTCTGGGTTAGTTCTTCTGTATATTGATTTTTCTGTATTTACAGAACAGTTTGTTGCTATGGCAATCTTTAATTATGATGTTTGATGACATACGTAAGAATTCCAAATCTGGTCATTTTAAATTATAACCAAGAGCAGCTCAGGACTTTGAGCAAACCCTTGAATTCTTGGTATACATATTTATGTACATCATTGCAAGTGGTAATATTTGCAAAATAATAGTACCAATATGTATGACTGGTAGATTTTTTTGTAAAAAAAGATTTAAGACCAATTCCCAGTGATTTTGGCAAATCTGTGCAGAACTGCAGATTATTATCCTAACTAAGTGAATTTGCATGTTCCTTATTATACATGTATGTGTTGCAGGGATAAAACATTTTTGCACTAAGATTGCTGTGTATTGCCTGCATCAATGACAAGGAAAGTGTGTCCGCTGGATAAACTAGATATTTGTGTACAGGTGCATTGCATTTGCGCCACAATTAGTGCTAAAAATAATTACTTATCATGCACCATTTTTCAGGTAATCTATATGAAGATAAGTTTCAATGTAAGTTGTTTCCAAAATATGAGGCTCGTATACAAATTTTGTAGAGTACCATATTAGAATTTAGTGAGTTCACATAAATTACTTAAAGAATTTGAGTATGCATGTGTTGACATATATATTTAAGTTGAGAAGATGGACAAAATTAAATTTTGCACAAACCAAGGAAAATGTGTTTGTATTTATATGACAACATATATATATGTACAAATTATCCAGTGTACAAAAATGTATTGAAGAATAAAGACAAGTCTTGTATATAAATCAGGTAGATGGTTATCTCATTTGAGTGAGAGCGAGATTTATGCACGGAGTGTGATACAAAAAAAAATGATACGAAAACCGAGTTAATTTGATTGGCTTATCCAGCATTATGAGACAATATTACAACATTTCCAATGGCTATTCGTTAGGTCATTGATGACTTTCAAAGGTTAAGACCATGTAGATTTTGACCAACGCAACAGACATATATGTGATTTCTTCGATAATATACAAAACACTCACCCTTTTCACTAAAAATTTTCTTTTTAACAAAAGTTATAACATTATGATGCGTACAAAAAGTTTTAAAATGTCTGATGTCAAAGTTTCGGAATAGGACATATGACGTCATACTGGTATGTGTAATAGACTAGATCAACAATTCATGGAATTTTACATTTAACAAAATGAGAGTGTTGATCATATGAGAAATAGGTTTAACAACTCATGAGAATTGGATATAGCATGATATCAACTCTCTTTAGTTAATTTAAATAGTAATAATAAACTCGCCAAAGACTCGTTTATTATCATATTGAAATTAAATAACTTGAGTTGATATCAAGCGATATCCAATTCTCATTCGTTATAAAACCTATTAATATATATTAATAAACCTTGATAAAAAATTATTGACAGTGTAGTTGATTAGTCATATGTTTGTAGTGTTTATAATCCAAAGAAGTAATTATATTTTCGAAAGTTCAATACCAGCTGTTAAATGAGTTATTTATAGTGGAATTAAAATTTTAAAATTGGTGTCCTAACAAACCACAACAGTTTGATATATTCTACTTTCCTGTTGATCTGTTTTTAAAGAATAATTGAAAACATAATTAAATTCTAACAAGTTGTCATGATCTTTTTTAATTTTGTAAAAAAATGTTGATGTCCATGGCCAGGACATCATGTTAGTTGTAACATGAATTCTGATGAATGATTGTAGGCCAAGTAATGACGACATCTGTCAAGCACATATTAAAGAGCTATTAAGTATTAATTTTAAAGATGTCTCTTATTCACGAATTGGTCATAGAAACAAAACAAACTGCTGATCCCTGTACATTGTCTTAAGTGTACATGAAATCAAAATTATTCGTCAGCTGTTTTTTTTTTTATTTTCATTTTCATTCTTATTAAAAAATAACCAGAAACCCCCATTAATTTCCTTCCCTTAACCAATTCAATTGATCAACGGGTCAACTTGTAATAAATGAAAATAAAACGAATCAGCTGAGTGATTACCAAAATCCTCGTAAAATAATACCTCAAAACAATGATACAATCGCTGTTTCCTGTTTGAATTGTTTTGAATTTTAAATCCAAGGAGGTACAAAGTCGCCGTTGTATTAATTTCATTTAATCATCGGCAGGGTAAGTCCTTAGTCACTTTGAAACATCTTCATTTTTCTAGCCAGTCCCCATTTTCCTTACCTGTGCGACTTGTAAATTACAAGTTGTTTCCCTCGAAACGATTAAGATGGCAAAAACATTTCGCGCTGAAGTCAGACAGTCGGTAATGTTTAGCAATTTCCTAATTTTTAGCAATTACATTGTCATTTTGCCAGCAAGATTATGCCCTGGGATTATGTCGGAAGCCCAAAGAATATTATTAATTTAAACCTAAACCAAATAATGTTTGACAGTTTTATTGTTTCACAATTCTTACTGTTTGTAATGTGGAATGTTAGGATTATTAGTTAATAACAGATCTTTTTTTTTTAAATGAACTCTATGTACATATTCTTTAAATAATCTAACATAGTCAAAATGTGATTGCCTTAATAAGGATATATTTGATTTTTGTGACAGTCACAGATGTCGACGGATATGTTCCAATTATTGAAACTACAATCCCATCCTCTTTTCCCCGAATGTAATCTACCAATTTAGACTTATCACCAGTTTGGACTTACATGAGCAATAATGTTTTCAACTTGATAAATTCCTACATTCAAATTGCTAGATGAACCTATTATTTGAAGAAAAATAACACAAGGCATACAGTTGATAAAATTGTACATATACATGTATATATATAATTCATTTTTAAATAAATTAATTTTAACTGTTTAAACGGGGGGCGGGGTGCTAGATTGGTGACAATTTATGCAATATTACATGTATAATATAACCATAAAGACATGACATTCTCAAAGACAACCTTATAAGAACCTAGAAATATGGGCAAACAACTGGGGAATGATGTTTAAAGCAGTTGAGGTATTATGATCCGAAATCCTCAGAGGGATCTGAATCCTGACGAACAATTACACTTTGTTTAGTGTAATTGAATTCCTGAGTAAAATCTGGATCCAAGTCCCAAGGAGGATTTAAATGCTCCATGGGTATCGGATATGCAGTTTACTTGTATAGTGTTTCCTGCAGGATGTTTTGGCGTGGTATGGCACCCTGCCATGTTTTCTTGACGCCATGCCCTTTTTAGGAAAAATATTTGACGCCATGCCCCTTTTCCATCGTATTTTAGAATGCCCCGCTGTAATTTAATATTGGTTCTGCAATTCATCTTTTAGCAAGACCATTTTGAGTTATTTCCCTCGGAACAAAAATAAATATTTAAATGGTCGACATCTTATTGAATTTTGAAAATTCGTAATGTTTGAACAGTTTTGAAGCGACAGAGTACAAATACGATTAATTACTTTACTTTATTGAAAAAGCACTTTACGCCCATATGGGCCAATGGCTTACAAACATTATACATGATATACATATAATACAGTAAACAATGAAAATAAACAATACAGACACTTTCTACTATAATCCTTTCTTTAAATCCGTATATATATAAGAGATTCAAATAATATAAAGGACTCCCTGCCCTCAGTCTTAGTGACGTTTTTAAAAAGGAGCCTAATTTGTTAGTGTCCTGTTTTGTTTCTGGATTGAGGATATGTTTTAATTTATCTATATCGTTCAAGTTATTATATACATTTTCATTTAAAAATTCTTTTCTTAATTGTTCATTTATTTTACATTTAAAAAAGAAATGGAACTCATCATCTAGTACATCACAATGTATACATACTTGTAGTCTTAAATCTCTGGGAATTTTCCTGTATCTACCAGTTTCTATTAATAAACAGTGGTCACTTATGATTGAATCTAATAGGGACAACATCGATTTGTACCTCTACGAAATTAAAATGTAGACAAATTAATAGGGAACCAGGCGATCGTTTTGAGTTATAATTTTACGATGAATGGGATGGACATTACATCTGTTTGTTTATATTTTCTATTTATACTATTCCGTCGGTCGCGACATCGGATTGGGTGTGAATTTACGACGGCTTTCATACTGTTGTTATCTTAATAAATTATAGTTAAGAATGTAGCTGATATAGTTTTGAATAGTACAAAAAATCAACGTTTCAATGAAAAAAAAAACACCAAATAACACAGATAGAAAAAAGATGAAAAGCAGGAGAATATGTTTAGTAAGTCTTGAAGTTGCTATACATATCTTTGAATATCCTAAAACTATTTGTACAGTTATGAGCCAAGGTAGCTTTGATTGGTACATGTATAAACTTGGGAGATCCATAGGGTATGTATTTGGCACTTCTTTTGTGCATTTAAAAAGCAATGCATTGCATATGCTCATGGTCATGCAAAGTCCACTTTCACAACAAGACAATCAGTCTCAGTGATCCAGTATTAAAGTTTATTACTGGAGTTATTGATTGAAATGAGGCAGTTGGACAATGAACATGATCAAGATTCTATTAGCTGAGTCTAGAAGTGATAATTTTATTACAAAAAAGAAATAAGTTAACAACCTAATACATGTTATATACATATCTTAATTTCTAACCAATAAATATGAAACAATGGTATATTCCATCAAGGATGTATATATGTTAGTTATACGTCCTTGATTCCATTAAATCCCTATCTATTACAGTGCCTTTATATCTATGTAAAGAGTGCCCTAAAAGTGTAGTCCACCATGTAAAGGGTGCCCTTAAAGTGTAGCCAATGGCACTAAGAGTGCCCTCTGAGAAAAAATTACCCTCTTCTTTTCAAAAGCTGCAGGAAACACTATTGTACCACCGTGTTGCAGTCTCATGTCATTGCTCCTTGGTGGATTTCAGATCAGGATACCCGGTGTGGTGCAAGTTCCTATTGAAGAACTAGATGAATATCCAAAGAGAATTACTGCCAGGAAATTTAAAAACTACATGTACCATATGCATTTAACAAATACATTAATATAATATAATATAAGCTTTATTTAGAGTCGGCAAGGTATACAAACAAAGACAAACATAAGCTCTAATGAGCTTTTAACGACATACATGTAGTACATTATGTACATGTATAGTGGATAAACAAATGAAATACATTATAAAGTGTTTCGACATTCCAAAGGCAAAGCACCACAACTAATGTTTTGTGAGAACAATGATTTAGTGGAGCCATCTTGTAGGCAATTGTAGGGCTGGCACAGAGTGATGATAGCTTTAAAACTGATCTCTAAATGACAGATAATGTAATGTATAAATATATATACCAATCACATATGTAAAATTTCCTTCTTCAATTTACTATAAGAGATGCAGTACAAAGAACACATCTGTACGCTGATTTAAATGATAACAGTTAAAATCAATTTGAACACAAATATTTAAATCTTATCATAATTTAATAATGTATATTATTGGAGAATTTTATCGAGATTCCTTTGTCCCCGGGAAGACTAAAAATCAATACATCAAATTTTCCACTAATTTATCTCGACATTATTTGCCATCCTTTTACAATATTACGAAGTATATTCTCTTGAATATAATCTGTTTTATGAATGAATGTGTATCAGGTTATAATAAATAGAAATATGAAACTGATCATCATGATTATACCATGCGTTTTTTTTTCTTTCCAATTCCGAGTATTTTTAAACTCACCTGCGACTTACAAGAAAAAAATCTGAATCAAAACAGAACACGTTATTATGTTATTTATAGTACAGTTCTGTACTTTGTGCTGTATACATTCGGTGGATAAGTAATCACTTGTATTACATTTGTGTACATTACATCTCAGTCGACCATAAGTAGCCTCATCACAAATTCGTACTTGTTTCTTTCGCCGTTAAGTAGGTCTATGACTATTTGTTTGGCGCATTTTACGAGTTCTTGGATTGTGCTTCTCTTTATTTTTGTGATAAATTGAAATAAAATAAACTTTGGGCAAAAAATTATTACCCATCAAGAACGTGAAATGTTCAGTGTTAATGATAAAATTCATCCGCATTTGAAGAAGTGCCAAAAAGATCGTGACGTCATGCATTTATCGTACAATTTTTTTAATAAAAATAGCAATTAAAGAACAGATATGGATTATGGATAGAAAGACTCTTAATTTTCCATTTTATGCATATGCTATTGTTAATACTAAATATATCTAAATATATATTTTAATATCCAATATCACGAATAGTTAAAATAAAATAAACACATTCATCGAATAAATATGTCAGCTTTCCAAAAAGCTTGTCTTATTTAAGCATCTGCAACATGCGAGATGTGCTTGCAAGTTCTGGTATAATCAGAGACATCTTCATGGTCACTTCATGGTCACATTCTCCAAACTGAAACAGCTACAAAATATTTAGGCATAACCATCCAATCTGATCTCAAATGGAATAAACACATAAATAATATAACAGCTAATGCAAATCGACAACTTAATTTCCTAAAACGTAACCTTAAAGTTTCATCCAAACAAATTAAAGAAAGGGCATACATGTCATTAGTTAGACCTAAGCTTGAGTACAGCTCTTGCGTCTGGGACCCTCACAACAAAAACCAAATCAATCAAATTGAGATGGTCCACTGTGACGAAGAGCTGCTCGCTATACATGTAATAGATATCACAATACCAGCTCAGTCTCAAATATGCTTGATCACTTACAGTGGCCTACATTAGAATTGAGACGTATACAAACAAGACTAGTGGTATTCTATAAGATCATACATCAACACATAGCAATCTACCCTAAAGATCTTCTCGTTAAATCAGACAGTAGAACAAGATATAAACATACCAACTACTTTAAACAAATTCAAACAAATAAAGATTCTTACAAGTTCTCATTTTATCCACATACAATAGTACAATGGAACCTACTTCCTACACCAGCAATCCTTTGTACAACAGTCGAAGGCTTCAAAGAGCAGATTTCTATATCTGCTCTTTCACAAATATTCTAAAAACTGCATAACATGTACATAGTTTTACCATGAAATATACATAGGATAACAATCCACAAAAAAATTTATTAAATCACTGTTATATTTTTACTTCATTTTCTATGCACCAATGCAATGTAACGTAAAATTACTGAAAATTTATTTCTTTTAAATTGCAAATAAGCCACGCATGCAACGGCACGTAATAGTCAAAGTTGTGACTGAGTGCGGAAATATGAAGATAGATAGATATATACATATGTGTATATATGTCTCTGGTATAATTTAAGAAATTCAATTTAGACGGACTTAGATTGATTTTTAGGTGGGGTTGTCATGTGTGACAAATATATAATATATAATATATAATATCGATAATATATAATATATAATATATAATATATAATATAATAATAGTAGCTAAAATCTGAGGCCATTTTTTTAAAGCATTCTAGGTAAAGATAATTTATTCAAAATACCCTATTACTTAATTAGCACACAGATGGAAATAATGTTTGTTCATTTAGTTTTCTTGTTTTCAAAGACTGCTTTTTAACACTGATAATTACTAGTAAAACATTTCTCTGTGTCCATGCCAATCAAGTCGTGTACCACTTAACAATTCAAAATTTTAAAAAGTTTTCAAATTTTTTTTAATTTTTGATGAAAGTTTCAAAATATCAACATTCCAAATTTTTTAAAATGATTGAAATTTTGAAAATTTCACAAAATAATTAAAATTCTAAAATTCGTTTCAAATTTGATAGTATATATATTATATCAAACTTTAAAAATACTAAACTGCACTCAAGTTAACAGTACTACAGTTGGTCGATACCTTTATTTTGGCATTGCACAAGGTCATGTTTTTCTCTGACTGTTAATGACGTCTTTACACTAAATCCATTGGATGTTGGATGTGTACTGATTGATATTTTAGTCTTAGATACATGCTTTTATTTTATTAGGTTGTTATTGGCTTTGAACTAGCTGTCAGTAACTGCGAGTACTCTCAGATCTGTACTTAGTGCCCTTTTTGTTGTTAGGGGTGATGGAAGGATACATAACCTGCCACGTCTGTGTTTTTGTTTTAAGTTTTTCTGCTTTGTATCGATCTGATGAGTTTAGCCTTTTTTCAACTGATTTTTATAGTTTGTTGTAGTGTTGTGCTGTAACATCACTCTCCCAGATTAGGGGAGGTTTTGAGCGCTCACAAACATGTTTAACCTGGCCACATTCTTTATGTGCCGTTCCCAAGTCAGGAGCCTGTATTTCAGTGGTTGTCGTTGGTTCATGCATCTGTCATATTTGTTTTTCGTTAATTGTTTTGTTATAAATTAGGCCGTTAGTTTTCTTAAATGAATTATTTCATATTTTTCATGTCGGGGCCTTTTATAGACAACTATACGGTATGGATTTTTCTCATTGTTGAAGGCCGTACGTTTGCCTATAATTGCTTACATCCACTTTATTTGAACTTTGGTGGATAGTTGTCTCATTGGCAATCATACCTCATCTCCTTATTTTTATATTAACGTGTAATTTTGATCATTTCGCTTTTTTAAAGATTGACTTTTTTTTTTTTTTTTTTATCAAAAAATGAAAAATAGAAAACGGGCGAGGAGAGAACATGTGTATCTTTATCAGGTACCTGTGAAGGGAGAAACAGAATAGAAACGGAATGGATCGAAACAAAATGTAATTTGCCAAAAGGGAACGAAACCAAACGAAACAAAACGAAATAAGACGAAACAAAACGAAATAAAAATCAAGGTCAAGTTACAGTAAATGGGCTATGTCACAGATTTTGATAAAATTTTGTATCCAATTTTGGCTAGTTGAACTACAACTGAAAGTCGAAAAAATAGTGCATTCATCTTTTTTATTCTCTGAAATTTTAATGATTGAATTCTTTCAAATTATGTGAACATTTGTATAGAAAGCACATCAAATCGGCGTAAACGTTCTTAAGTTTGTCTTAAAATCATCAAATCTCCAATTTCGAATTATATTTTCGTTTTCAGGTATGGCTCTTTGGTCGGGTTGTTGTCTCTTTGACATATTCCCCATTTCCATTCTCAATTTTACTTCAACTAGCTGTATGCAAAATTTTATCAAAATCCGTGACATATAGCCCATTTACTGATCATTTACCTTAAAAAAATAGAATACAAAAGAAGAGGCTAAGTTGGTTGATATACAGGGATAAAAAAATTATAAAATTAGCCTGTAATCAAGAATTAAAGTCGATAAGTAATTTCTGCATATGGTGTTTTCATTTACTAGATAACCAAAGTGTGTCTGAATCACTGTCTAACTAATTAGTTTTTACGATTTAAAGAAACAAAAGAGAGGCGAGAAATCCCAAAGAAACAATCAAACTCACAAGTCGAAAATAAACTGACAACGCCATGGCAAAAAAAGAAAAAGACCAAAAGACAAACAACAGTATACAAAACACAACAACAAAGAAAACTTAAGATCTTAGCAACGCGAACCCCGACAAAAACCGGAGGTGATCTGAGGTAAGCAGATCCTGATCCACATGTGGCATCCGTCGTGTTGAGTCATTCAGGTGCAAACCCGGTGGTAGGTCTAATCCGGTAGGTTACATTCGGGGAAATGGAGAACGGGATTGTGGTTACTACGATTGGAACATACACGTCGTCATCTGTGAAACATATATTCCATAACGGTTAACCAACTCGTGATGACGTCCGTAAAATTTTCGAAGGGATAATTGTAACTTTACCACTTTGAAATCTTGGTTTTATAGCTTTCTTGTAAGCAGCAATCCTCTATCAAGGAAATCATGATAGGAAACGCAAGCCCGGGAATTTTGTATCAACTGGGAGATATTATGCAGTCGCTGTTGGAATGTTGCTACATAGAAAAGGAAATTTCACAATAGGGAAGCCGCAATCATCTCTTTTGAAGTAAAAGTTTTTGTTCTCAACCGACCGTCATTGTCAATTTCTAGAGGCAAGTCAAGATATATGAAGCAGACTTAACTGTATCTGATGTATCTTTCAAGTTCAATGTGATAGATGCATTCAACATAGTCACCAAACGTTGAATTCCAGTGGCGTAGCTACCTAAGGCTCGACTAGGCACATGCCTATACATACATTTGCCAATTATAATATAGAGGTTTCCGATCTAACACTTTAACATTCTACACAGAAGACAGGCGCTAGGTTTTCAATATGATGGGCATATTTTTCTAAACAATGTAAATATTAATCATATTTCATTAAACTGGTCACAGAATCTTACCTGCACACAGAATATGAATATGCGTCGATTAAAATAAAAACATTTTTTTTCTCAATTAATGTGCTGCTTAACTCTGCTTGTTATTTTCTTTAGAAATCCGTTTGGTTGCACATCTTTCTCAAACAACCATTATCATGATGACAAAATAAAATTTGAAGAATGTCTAGGGCCTTTTACGTCTTCAATCATTTGTCCACTGCTGTTATATATGTGATTATCGCAACTGTCCAACAGCGGACAACTTTGTGTGTATATGCGTGTAGTCTATTTAACATAGACAAAACTTATTTAACCCTGCCACATTCTACACATACACCTGTCATAAACAATTAATACTAGTAATAAATAATTAAAGTACAATTGAGAATGGAAACGAGGAATGCGTCAAAGAGACAATAAACCGACCAAAGAGCAGAAAACAGACCAAGGCCACCAATGGGTCTTCAACACAGCGAGAAAATCCCGCACCCGGAGGCGGGCTTCAGCTGACCCCCAAACAATAATGTATATTACTTCAGTGAAAATGGACGTCACACTAAACTCCGAAACATATAAATGAACCAAAATAAAAAAACACATACAAGAATA